GAACTGTCACAATGCCAACCATATGAGTTAATCTAAAGAGGGTTTCAGTTCACATTATTTTGAGCAGTAGTGCTGTAGTTAAATACAAATGCAGTTACGTAATCACATTCCTTTAAAAAACTCTATTGAGCAATATTTTTCTATATCGACACTGACTACCTGTGATGTTAAATTGCTTATACTGTTGGTCCCACTGAGGATTTAGACTCAAGTCTGCAGCCACAGTTTTCTGACATGTTCAGCTCGTTACTTTTGCTCTCAGAGAATCAGATTTCTATTTCTACAAAGAAACAAGAGAAAACCAGTAATATTGGACTTTTTTTGTCCTCCAGCTTTGAGCAAGAATAATCTGACGGGATGTCAATGTGGCTCGGCTTCTGCAGGGTGAGTGTGTAATGTTTAAAGCTTGCCAAAAGACATAAATTGACATTTCTCAGACCTGTTGCTGAATACTGCTGCACCACAGTCTAAGAAAATTCCTCAGATTTTCAATATCACGTCTACAGAATGACAAAGTGTGCAATTTACACTGGGAATGGAAATGATGCGTCAGACAACAGGTCTAAAACTCCAAGGCTAACTTGGAAATCTGCAACACGTACACCCAAGGCCAGTCGTATAGAGGTTCTTGTTGTAAGGCTTACATTTCTGGACCTCAAAGTTGAAAAACATATTGCACTCTGTCACCTCATACTCTTTTTTTCCCCACCTTTTTATATCTCAGAAAACTAAGCTAGGAAGATTACAGCCAAGACTGTTCACTTTAAGTTGTAAAAACACGATGGTAGATCCATTCTGTTGCTGGCAGACTTCTCTGAGTCAATATGTTTGGCCGCTACTCTCCTTAAATATATTCCCATATCTCACAATAAGAATGCCAACTGAATGTAACTCAACATTTGTTTCATGACTGCATGACCCTCCGCTGGTCTCGCAGTCAGTGCATCCTATCATATTTTCATGTATTCAATCCACCTACATTTCATACAGCAAGTCCTGCACATCTCCATCTGCATGACTCTATTACTGCGTCTTCAGTTCTGGGTACACAAACCTGTTTTCTATCCAAATCACTCAGTTTGTTCTCCCTTTGGCGCAGGATATATTGTCATGGTGGGGGTGACGTGTGTGTGTCTGGCGCGTTTGTGTGTGTGCGCGCTTACATTACCTTACTTCCTCTTCTCTTACAGCGGCAAGTGAAGCAGGGGGAAGGGAGAGGAAGTTATCTGTGGGCCTTTCATGCCACAGTGATCCCAAGTAATCTAATTCAGTCTTCCTTTTTCTCGCTTGTGTGCTTCTCTCATATTGGTGCATGCAGATTGCAAAAACCTTGCATGCTCGTGTGTGTGTGTGTGTGTGTGTGTGCACATGTGTGTGTGTTCGTGCGTGCATGTAAAAGGGGAAAAAGGGGGACAGAGGGAGTCAGATGGAGTTAATGAGTTCTGAATGTGTCTACATGTATAAGTATTTGTGTTGTGTGTTAAGTAGCATGGGCCAGCTGGAGATGCAGTGCACCTTGGGAAGTTGTCTGAGGAGGGGGAAGCATTTGAATGAAGATGAAGCAGAGAAGTGACGAGAATGAGTGTAGCTTTATACTGTAAAAAAAAATAAAAAATGATTATCAGTGTCCCAATCAACCTCTTTTCAACAAAGGTCATATGATGAAAACATTTGAAATGTGAGAATCAAAGGTACACGCAGATGAGCGATCCTTTTGAATATACTGTATCTGCATGATAGCAGCCGCTTCACTGAATCCCTGACAGGCCGTCTGAACAGAACAGCGAATCAAAGCGAAGAAAAGTTAAAATCAAGCCTTTCTGTATAAGCAGAGTAGTCAGACACACAGCTTGTCTTTAGTTTTGGTACACATGAATCGCTATTCATCTTCTCTCCTGAGAGGCTCCTGCCTAAATTATCCTGCCCCTAATTGATTTAGCCAAGTTTAGAATGTTTTTTTAATATCAGGTTAATTGAGATGGATCTTTTTTTTGCCAACGTGAAAAAAGTGGCATGATTTATCGTGAGCCATTAAGTCCCCTCTTTTTCTGTAATATGGGGAGAATAACCAGGATGAAAAAAGCAGGCAGTTTTGCATTTGATTGATGCATGCACGCTACATTTGTGCGTTCATTCCAAGAATTCATTTTGTAAGAACAACAAGGTTTTCCCTCTGATATGAAAAGCGCATCATGAAATTAAGATTTTTATATAACTATGTGATATCATTGGCAAATACTTTACTTTGTTTTATAAGAAGAGCTTATGCATACACAAAACGCAAATCATCCATGACATCTTTATTTGGGGAAACTTTATATTCCTAAAGCAAGCCAGGAAAGCTGTTGATACATCAATGACACGATGTGAGCTAGAGAACTCAAACAATAGTGCAGAATTAAACACACAGCATCAACTATCCTGAGAACAGATCAGTGGGTGAGAATGCACAGCGTTCCTCTGAATCCAGGATCATCCACCCACACTCATTTATCATCTTCTCGGCTACAGGCAATACTTAGAGAGAATAACATCGACACAGCACTGAGGTATCGTGAGCATTGGAGGCACCAAAATAGAAATGAATGCCACTTTTTGTTTGTAATCAGCGCTCATACGACAGAACGTCTGTCTCTTCAGTCGACATGATTGATGCCAGTCATTTTTCCACCTGAATGTTCTTGATCTGAATAAGAAGCAGAGTTCTCGGTGTGGCTGAACAAAGCTGCAGAGATGGGTAACGAGTCGCTCTGTGAGGTTCTATAGGGGGAGCTTTGGTTAATCTACACAACAGAGAACCTGCGCTGCTCTCTGAGGGAGACAGATAGCTCGAGGCGCACCCTCAGGCCAGAGCGCAGCTCTAGACCCCATCCAAGGTCTGCTGGGAAATACAGATGTTCTCTTCCTGCTCCTAAACACAATCTGCAGACACACTGCAACAGTACAGCTCTGCCCTCTCTGTCACAGCAGCCGTGTTGGTATTCAAAAGTATATGTATACGCAAATATAACTGTACGAGTTAAAGTCAAACCATCTAAATGGTATGTATAACACAGAGAACCTCTTTCAGACAGTTAATGTGTACATATTACATGGTTGCCTTTTTAATAATGTGTGTTAGTATTAAGATGTTGTAGCTGGTTAGATTATTATTAAAGGGGACATATTATGAAAAATCCACTTGTATTGTGTTTTTGAACATATATTTGGGTAACCTGAGTGTCTACCGACTCACAAAATGTGAAATAAACCTATCCAGTCCTTTGTTTTTGGTCTGCATCAGTCTTACAACACAGAGAAAGGTGCTCCGTTTCAAATTTGCTCAACTTGTGATGTCACAAGCTGGATTCTGGTAAAAAAATAAAACTCCCCTCCCCTCCCCTGATATCATCACCCATGGAATCCAGCCCCCAGCCTGGAACAAAACTTTTGAGCAGGTCACCCATTCTTATTCTTACTACAGAGGAGCGATGTCTACCGGGAAAACTCAGGGGGGGCTCATTGTGTTTAAAGAGACACACACACCAAAACGGAGCGTTCTGAGAAAGCTGTTTAATACAGGGTCACAAACCTCCTCTGCTGCTTGATTCATGTTATATTTTGACCAAAGCACAGCACAGATGTTTCATTTAGACCATAGGAGACTGTTTTAAAAGGTGGAAAAGGGGTATAATATGTCCTCTTCAATATATTTCATTTTGTGTAAGTGTAAGTGTAACCAAGTCTTGGTAATATTATGTAAGTCATAAGTGGATATGCATCCATATAATATATTTACTCAGTTTTCCTATGATAATGAGTCATTGCCGGTTGTTTTCTTGAGATCTTTGACTTATTTATCTGCTTCCCAAAAAGAAAAAGGACAAAGGGAAACTTACCTTATTAGTGTGGGTATCGGCAGCATGGCATGTTGTAGTCTGGCCTATCACAGTGTCAAGCCTGGTATATTTGTTTTCTAGATTACCAGAAAACTGTCCCGTAAATCATCATGAAAAACAAGTTTTATTTTGTCGAGATAAGGACATAATAAAAAAAAACAGCTTTGTTATCCTGAGATAACGAGAAAAATAGAGATCTCAAGAAAACTACTGAAATCAACCTGTTATCCCAGGAAAACCAGCGTTGTTATCTCAGCTCAAAGAGATAGATAAGTCAAATTTAAAAAAAACAATCAGAAATGACTCTAGGGGAAATAAAGTAAACCAAATGTACTGATGCATGTTCCCTCAAGGCTTCCTTAAATATAAGTACAATATGTGTTTTCTGTATTTTATTTATTCTGAATATGTTATTTCTTTAGAATGTTTTATCTTTTTCCTGTTCTCCATCTTTCCATCCATTATACCACTTTTTCCCATTCAGGGTCACGGGGGGGCTGAAAGCCGATCTCAGCTCTCATTAGGCGAGAGGCGGGGTACATCCTGGACTGGTTATTTCCTGTTCTCAATTTTATTTTTTTGAGCAACAAAACACTTGATTATAAACAGGCAGATGTTGGATGAACATTCAGATCTGTTGTTTTTTGTGTCAGCAAATTGTGTTTTATATCACCATGCTGTTTTTGAATTAAATCTATATCTTTAATAGTTTAAAAAAAATACAATATTCTTTAAAAAAAGAAGGAAATGTCCTTGCATTCTATCTGTGAGAGTCTTAAACACTGTTTGTGTTGTTCAATACTAATAAAAGACATATTTTTGTAACATCTAACTTCATTGAAAATCTGTAAAAAACAAAAAAAAACTGTGACAGGGTCTTGAATAAATTCATGTTTGTCCTTCAGGCTGCCACCAGGCATGATTAAAGTGCAGCGGTTCTCAGCCATCTCTAATGCAAAGTATTCTATTCACGTTCTGAAAGAACATTTATGCAAATGTTGGTTCAAAAACTCACAGTGTAGGATTAAATAATATTGTACCCTACAATAATTCACATTCAGACTGATTAGTGTGCAGCCGTCTATCTGGCCGAGGCACTGAGTTGGAAATGACATCACTCACCATGGCCAGGGGCACGATGCCCGCCAGGTCCTCCTGAGCCAGCCGGATCTCCGTCTCAGCCTCTTGTGTGGTGGCTCGACCAGTCGGGTACTCCACCTGCCAGGCCATCCAGCGGCTGCCCAGCGGCTCTGGAAAGCTCTCCAATTTCAGATCCACCTGAAGCACCCTCTGAACTCCCATGTCAGCCCTGCCAGAGTGTAGAAAAAAAGAGAGTGTCAGTGAATGGTTAAGCAGATGTCTGGATGAGAGATGGAAAAAGAATAAGTCTGTGAGCAGATCTGTGATGGTGAGCTCATTCAATCTCTAATGACGACAAACCGTGCAAGAAGATGAATGTGTCTGTGGAAGAAATCTATGACATTTTAGCTGCTGAGATACCTCAAAATGTCAATCCCCGTTGGGTTTGATTCTCCGGTCAAACTGTCTGTTTCTAAGGAAAATATCTCTCCCTTCTTTATGCCTTGTACACTTTGCACGGGGGATGTTCACTGTAAATAAAACCTATAATGTCATGGCGTCTCTTAAACACAGTTCAAACTAACACATCCCCCTGCTCAGATGTTGATGGTCAGGTTTGTCACTGTTGCCCTTGTTTGCAGTGGCAGAGAGTAAATATACGGCATGCTTTGGCCCGATCTACGGCTGGCCTGAATTAAGTCAGACAAATGGCGAGCGTTGATAATAAAATTTCCCGTGGCACCATAAGTCTCTGGTGCTCAGAGTTTAAATATAGCCCGGAGGCGGGAAAGGTCAGCTTTACACGGGAGCCGGAGGAGATGGGAAATGGCACGAGATCTGTTAGCGGCGTCGTGCGTGTCAAACGGGCAGGACTCGGGGACGATAAATTTCATGCACGGTCTCTTTGAACACCGGCACAAAACGGCAGCTTGTAATTTGAGCATGGTGTAGGGGACAGACGAGGAGGGGAGGGTAAATCCACATCATAGTTTGTTTGCACAGGAGGGTGCATGTATATGTAACATGCGGAAAACACTGTAGAAAAGAAGGCAGCAAAAAGATCCCATTAAAGCCAATATCATGCAAACAAATGAGCCATTACACTTAATGTGGTACATCTTGGAAAGACAACAGAGCAAATGTATTACACGCTAAATTATGAATGTGAGAATAAAAACAGTAGGGCGATAAATAATAGAAACTGTGTTATCCGCTGCTGTCACATTCACATACATCCAACACCGTTTCCCCGTCAATCTCATATTATTCACTTTCATTCTGTGAGAATGAAAGATTTGTTTCACAGCCAAGCACAACAACCCAATTTTCACATCCAGCAGAGGTGTGTATAAATAATTAAGAAGACAACTAAATAACTTGTGTCACATTTCATAACAGAGCGTACTAATCAGAGTATTTGGAGTCACTGAAGGCGTAGTACGACAACGTGGACTTGCATAACTGTCCCACAGTGCTCTGCGAGAGACAGATGCTAATCTCTGTCAACAGACGGGTGAGAAAAACAAGGTTTATCAGGTAAACAGAGCATACAGATGATGCTCTGAATGTCCAGAAATAAACCTTTGAGCACCCCACAGTCAGCGAGCGTCACACAGGACCGGTTTCAGACATCAGCCTGAGTGGCCTACTTTCTGCAGCACAGGGAGACTTCTGCTGCAGAAGTGTTGCTCAGGCAAACATCACATATTAAGGTGCATGCAAGAGAGAGACACCCTAAACACTGCACAACAGAAAGGTTTTATTAACAATTAATTTACATCTCTGACAACTAATCTCACACCTGCAATAAGTTAAAGAGTCCACTAGGAGATGTCGATTATTGCATGATCCAGCTGGCAGAGTTTCATTACAGCTGCGATTGCTGTCAATTTGAAAAATGTTATAGTTCTTCCTACAATAAAAATACACACAAAATATTGAGGTTATAACACTGAAGTGAAAAAAAAAAAATCCTTCTGTCTCTCTGTCGCAGGCTGCTAATTTTTGCATTTTTGTGACAGAAATATCCAACATCAAAAGAAGCCATGAAAATACAACAGTTGTACCAAAACCAGGACAGGTGGAGGGAAGACAGGAAACAGGATGTTCGGGTGGTACAAAGTTGAGATACAGCATGAGTATGGAGGAATAATATAAAGTGCAATATCTGAGTTCTATTTCTGCAAGGAAATAATGCGTGTGGATGTTTGCAGGTGAAAATATGAAAATAACCAATGACCAATGACCAAGATGTTACTAATATACTGTATAAGGAGGCGTGTTTTTTTTGTTTGAGTACAGCTTTATTACAATAAACCAAAGCTGCTGCTGCTGCTGTTTGTAATTCAAGCCAGCCAATAATTTATCTAGCAGGTGGCGAAAAGCGGCAACATTAACAAACGTTTTAGACTCTTAACTTCCCATGCAAAGCCTGGCAGCAGACTGTTTATAAATGTCCGCTGTACTTGACCCCCATTGCCACCCGTCATAAAATGAAACCTGACAGAAACGACGGCATCAGGGTGACTCAGACACTGAGTCACAGACATCAACATCGCACACACCAGCTAGCCATCCTGAGCCGACCTCCCCTCTCCAAGTGTGCTAATCACATGGCTCGCTGGGGGAAACTGTTCATTTCTCTGTCACTTCCAGCATGCAGTCTAATTCAATTAGCAACAAAAGGGGGCTTGTGGATGTGTGCCATACAGCTGGGCTTGGCCCGATAATTATCTGTAAACTAGCCGTGGTTGGACTGAATCTGAGGCCAGGCAGATGACCCGAGGGCAGCCAGAGGCGACAGAGAGGAGCTCAGAAGATAACAGGCCTTAAAGTCTGGAGCAGCTGGCACCGTGGCTTCAGGGACCCGACTCGAGAGGAAATCAGAGTTGACAAGGTGCTGCCTGAGACAGCTGACAACGGACTCCCTGAGAATCCCAGGGAGGTGGCTGAGGGGAGGCTGCGGAGGCAGATGCAGGATGCCCATTAATCACAACCAACAACAAGCAGATTTGTGGGACACAGTGACACATAAAGAAACAAATGAACCGCTTAGCATTGCTAAGTTTTGTTTACGATGCTGGAGAGAGCATTTTTATACACCAAAACGAGATGGTAATGCCAAAAAGAGACAGTAATAACAGAGGTGACAACTGACAGTAGCCTCTCACACTAGCTGTGTTGTTAAGTTTAGAGAAATGTCCCAGACATTGTTATAAAGCCTCTCCGCCTCCTTTGAATTCTGGGTTATCATGACAGGGTTTCAATAGAGACATCCCAGAGGCAGACTGTAAGAAAAGTTAATGCAACAAAAAGCAATACAAAAGCTTACAATTAATGAGTCAATGGGGACAAGGCAAAAAAAATATCCTAGAAAATACTGACTTAGTCCGGAAAAACAGGTGAAAACCCAACAACAAGAACAACAAGGAAAATATCAAACATGAGTTGAAGACAGACAGGCAAGGAAAGAAAGAGTCATAGAAAACCAAGAAGGGGGAGGTACCTCATGCAAGGGAAGGACAAAATATAACAGAAAATATGATAAGTGACACTAACAAACAAAAAAGAAAAAAAATTAGGCATGTTTGAAACATGTGTCACGCTTTCTCTTCCCAGCATGAGCCCTCTCTTTTAGCCTCAATTTATGCAAGATTGCTAAAAAAATAAACAAAATTCATCCAAACAAAGAGAACGGTGTTTTCACGGCCAAAGAGAGACTTTTGGACAAACACCACATTCAATAGTAAGAAGGGACAGGCTGTCAATATACTCACTGATGACTTTCTTTGTTTGTTTGCTATCAAGCTCAGAATGATTACGAGGATTTTGTGTAATTTTAATTTAATAATTAGAATTGAAATTTTAGCTTTGAAATAAGTCTATTAGTAATCAAGCTGCACTCAGCATCTAATTATTTCCAGCATTGATCACCCTGCCAATTGGCTTAATCTGTTAAACTCTTACAGCCTCCTGATTGCTTGATTTTGAGCAAAGAAATTAAGCTACTTAGCTAACATGAATATACGAGAAGTAAATATATAAAAAATATATAAATATATAAATATAACAAGCCTTGGCAATTAATGAGAACAAATTGAGAATGTCAACTCATTCCCATTCCAGGTTGTTAAAAACACATTGGTCAAGGACCCTCATGCAACATATCATTAAGCACGATATACAGACACCAAGTCACTAGTGTATGTTTTCTTTACTTTCTGGTTATAATATTACTGTAGAACCAAAGTCCAGTATATCTCATGCAAGTACCTTGCAAATTTATGCTCCATACTTTGAAAATTAATGAGGAAAATGTACGGCGAAATGGTTTCTGATTCATAAAAAATAAATTAAATCGATTAATTCACAAGAAGTTTCATCTCCCTCAATCTGATTGGTCACCCCATTGTCACCTTAATATCCTTCACGATTATTTGCCATTTGCAGGTCAAAGGGAAGACTTAAGTTTAAAATGTTCTTAATGGGCTGTGTTGTAGTGATGTGAAAAGCAGTTCTTTTCAGTGTACTGAATCAGTAGAATCAGTTCAGTAAAGTGATTCGTTCAAAAGATTCGTTCACCGAATCGTTCAGTACTTCTCAGCAGCTCTGTCTGTGAATCAGAATTTAATAAGCTCAAACACGGCCGAACGTTTAGTTCTGCTCGCGATTGTACTGAGAACAGCCGGTGGTGAATAATAAACTAATGAGCTGAGAATTTAGTTGGATAAAGCTACAGTTTGCAAACTGAAAGCTGCTAAAACAATCACATTTATTTTCCCCGACCGTTCTGTTCAGTACGTTCAGTACACAAATCACGCACTGAGTGTCTGACTGAGAGGAAGAGAGTGACTCGGAGGTGGAGCTCTCGTTCAGTACGTTCACTGAACTCCTCCTCTCAGTTCGTTCAGTGAGTCACGTCGGAGCTCTCGTTCAGTTCGTTCAGTGAACGTGAATGAGCGAGACTGCGAGTCACCAGCCTCAGTCACACACACACGCACACACACACACACACACACACACACACACACACACTGACTGAAACACGATCGTTAGTAGATGTTAAAACAGTCAGCTGAGTGAAATTAAGTTGGATATAAAAGCCGTTTGTAAACTGACAGCAGCTATAAAAAGCACATACATTTTCACCTAAATGTTAAATAATATATTTTCTACTTCCTCAATTTTGGAGACATGAGAGGGAGAAGTAGGGGCGGGCTTTAGTGACAC